GTGACGTTAGAACAACTTTCCTCACAGATCACATTGAGATGATCATCTTAAGGAGATGCTGATTGTGTTTGGTGTTGTTCTTAATCAGCTGAAGATACTAAACACTGGAGGTGTACATGTGTCTGTGTGTTTGCAGATGGGTAAAGCCGCCGCTCTGTTGGGCATGTCCACCTCCTACATCGTTCCAGTGAAAAACTACTCGTCAGAGCTGGACCTGGATGTAAACACAGATGTGCTGCTTCTCAGTGCTGTTGATCACATCCTGCAGTATGCTGACCTGTATTTCCAGGACAATGCACCACAGAACAAAGAGCTCAAGACAGTCCTGGATCTCTGATTTCTGAGCATTTAGATTAGGAGCATCATTTAACTGTTCCTGTTTCAATGTGTTAGAGAAGAGAGTTTTCATTTTTAACAAAAACTTGTGTTTCTTTTGTTTTTGACATTTAAAAAAAAATAAAAAAGGTGTAAAGCACATCAACATGCTATACATAGGAACTTAACCAATCTTGTTTTGTTTCTAATGGATAAAGCTATGACTCTACGCTTTACATTCTGTATGTGAGACAGACACATTTTTAACCAGTCTTTGGGCTTCTTTACTAAAACGTTTTACACCAATGTTTTGCAGTTTTTTCCCTTTCACAGGAATAAAATGAAACTTTTTCACCATTTTATTATTAAATTAAAAACAAAATGTGGTTCACACCCTCTCTAGAGACTTAAGGTTACACATGTGCTATCGCCCAGTGTACACCCTTCTCTCTTCCATCAGAAAGGTTAAAGTGCAAGATTTGTCTTTGCATTTTGAACAGGCTTTGAAACTGGACTGATTTCCCTGACCGCTGTGTCATTAATGCTGTACGGCGTTCCTTTTTCGTTATTACTATTATTATGTGTGCTAGTTTATATTGTATATATTTATTAATGAATTGTCCTTTTAATTGAATAGCTGAAGAACTAGTAAGATTGGTTCGTGGAAAACTGTAGCATATGACGATGCACAGACCAGTTTGTTTTAGCCTCTCCGCCTCATCTCACACTCATTGATCCTTATTGTTTTGGAAGAAGCGATTAAGATCAAATATCAATAACGTTCATTTCCTCTTGAATAACGTTCAGGTTATTGTGAATATTTATTGGTAATGTTCAGAGGTGAACACGGTTTGCTTGGAGCACTATGTCACAGGTGCCCGGAGGCCTAAGTGGACCCAAGTGCAGACATCAAAATATTATCACCAGACGCCCACTCGGATCATGACGCACGGATGGGAAGAATTTCAAACTTAACTAATGACTCATGTTTTATTTGTTTTGAACTGAAAGGAGATACAATAAAACACCAGACACCGAGTTTTATTCTAAGAACTTTTCTGGTTGGACACTTTCAGTTTAATTTCTGCAAAAGCGGACGGTGGTGCCAAGGTAGTTATCCCCGACAGAATTTGTGTTCCTGCGCTCCCTGCGTCGGGAGCGCGCACTGGGCAGGGAGTGCAGGCCCAGATGTTTTCTTTTGTGAGAAGCCGGGACACTGTACCGCTCTGTTGTGGTGAAGAGAGAGCTGAGTATAAAAGCGAAACTCTCGATTTACCGATCGATCTTCATCCCTACCCTCACCTATGGTAACATGCTGTGGGTAGTGCACAACAAATTATTTGGTGCTTGCCATGATTTAAAATCTTATTTTTAGACAGGCCATATAAAATGTCTTGTTTTCAAAATGATTTACTTGTTTCTAAACCTTGATTTTAGATTATAAACTTAAATTGAAAATAACCATATAACCGTGTCTATATTACTACATAAATCCTAAAATGGAAAGAGTAACTCTTAAAATAGCCTGCATTTGGTCTCTCACCAGATTTCTCTCAAAATATAACTTGTTTCAAGATGCAGTGACAAACTCAATTTGCTTGATTTAGGAAATTCACACAAGGCATCTGCTGAAAACACGATTTATTTCAATATCATAATCTGACTTTAAATTTGTACATAAAAGAGAGGCTATACCTTCTCCCTCACAGAGAGAATTATGACCTTGTTTTCTGCTTGGCCATCACCTAAGGATTTACATCCCTGATAAGCTGAAGGAGTCCCACTATCTGTTTAATGTCTCCCATTAAAATGGCCTCACTGTGTTAACATTCCACATACATGCAAACTGGTGACAGGAGTGCTCTTACTATAGTAAAGTGAGAAAGTGGTATTACTATAAGTAATGTGATATGATTAAATATGTGATTAATACATGAGAAAAGAAATCTGCCTCCACAGAGGCAAAAAGACAAAAAACAAACTAAAAACCAGCAAAAAATGACTTAAACATAAAAAATCACAAAGAAAGAA